AATGTCCAAAGTTTACGATTAGAAATGGTTTTTGTGTTGGTAATTCAGAACAGCCAAATTTTTTCGCAAAAAATTTTTTGAAACTAAACACTGTCTCAATGTGTGTTATTTTTTTCTTATTTATTTTTAATTTATAACAAACAGAAATAACGGTTAGACAGGTAAACTTTAAAAAACACTTACTACAAAGTGTATTTATCGTACATGTGACATACTGCTAGCTTTTTTTCAGTCTAAAATGTAATCGGCAAACTATGACTGTAAATTCTGCTGGCTGTCTAAGTTGCTAGTTCTTCGTCTTGACCTCATCTAATACCCTTTTTGAGATTTCTTCGCCAAACTCTACTACGCTTTGAAAAATCTTCATGCGAGAAAAACTGCTGCAGTTGAGAAACAGCTTAGAGGGTATTATTCCCGACGAGTTGAACACAGATTTCAACCTTAACCGATGGCTTACGGCATACGACCAGGTAAGTCAACTCACTAAACGATGAAGTAATTTTCACATTTGGAGTTTCACTTTAACTCTAACGTAGATTATTCATAAAGTACACTTTCGAAAGAACTTCCTCTTATTTAATAAGTTCTTTAATTTCTTTATTAACAAACGTGACTCTACTTTTCAGGATGTCCAAAAGTGCACTACTAAGTTCAAAGAATATCTCAGTTTAAGAAAGTCGTTAGGGTAAGGTTGACAGCTTTGGTGCTATAGGTGGATAAAAAAGTTCACAACAAGCGGGACTCTCATCTAGTTTTTATTTTTGATATTCTGAACTTGTTGGTAATAATAGAGAAAAAGGCAAAAATTAGGAAACTTCTCTTTTAAAAATAACAAATCTGTATCATTTGAAAAAAAGTTCAGTAATTGCTTCACTCGTTTACATATCAGATCAAAGACGACTACATTTGTAGCCACGACAGACCGTCCTCTACCAACGATTTTTATTTACGTGATGACGTGCAAAAATATGGACGATTTCTTACTCAGTCTCGAATCAATTTAGAATGGATTAATGACAAAGATAATGGTCTCGTGTTTGTTGAAATGCCTTTTGAAGAACCTAAAAAGGTGCTTTTTCTCTTTCTTTCATTTTCCGCTTACCTTCAAATAATTGTTATCACAACTATGCAAAAATTTCCCATTAACTAATCGTTCCTGTGCTCTGTCACCTACGCAACAGCATAGTTCTCTTCAACTTTGAATAACCATCTTTTTAACAACTCCTAATGTTTTTTCTTTGTATATTTACTGTTTTTGTTAAATTCTAGATTTTTGGCTACCACTTTTTTAGATAATCAAGGCAATCCGAGTTGGAGACTATGTCAAACTGTTCTTTGGATACTGCGAGACATTCCAAAACGCAGTTTTGGAGCATGAAAAAAAAACTGGAAAACCATCATATGGAATCTGTATTTATGACCAGAAAAATATGTCTTACACACCTTATCTGAACCCACTTAGTCCAGTTAACAAAATGCTTTCGGTCAGTTGTTACAGCCTTTACTATGCCGATATAACAACGAGTATTACCAACGGGAAGTATAAAACAGAATCTGGATCATCGTACAATTCAACGAGAAATATAAAATAAAAAACTTTAGGCAAGAGTTCGATTATGGATGGACTATTACAGCGAGCTGTTAAAACAAGTTATTATCGTTAATCCGCCAATCTTCTTGTCACTCATTTGGAAAGTATAATTTTTTTCTTTGAAAAACAATAGCTTCTTTAGTAGAACTTGTAAACTATATGAGAATTCAGCTTAGAAAGCCTAATGCAAACTCCCACACATTTATTAGCAGAACAGTGACTTTAGAAGCAGTAGTCCTATATCTATATTTCCAAATGCCATTCAAAAGTTTTAGGTTGTTGCAGTGCTTCTACCAGCTAAAGTTCACAATCGTTTCTCCTTCGCCAAAACATTCCCCGATCAACTTCTCCCTTATCTATCATTATCTGCGATTCCAATAGCTTACGGAGGCAAATACCAACCAAAATCAGACTTACCAAACGGATGCAATCGGGCATCAAAAATCTTAGAAAATGATATCCAGGTTAAAGCTTGTTTTTCCATTTCTTTTCATGAGTATAAAAGTTAAGAAAGTTTAAAACAGCTAGCTATAGCGATGTTAATTTTGACTAACCTTAATTACTTTAGGAAAGCGGACAGATTTGGAATGAACACAGCATAAAGCCACACTATCACTCGCATACTGTTGCTCCTGGAGAAACCGAAGTTTTAAGCTTCTCCATTAAAAATAGTCAAATTTTGCTTTATGAATATAAAGCAAAATCTGATGCTGAAATTTGGGTTAGCCAAGGTATGCAGTTTTAAAAACATTAACTTTTAGTATATTGGTTGTCACCTTAGAAAGCCAAGGTTGTATTTGATATAGTAACCTTCTCAAAAAATTAAATAATAAACTGAGACAGGAATCTTGAAATTAAAAGTGTCGTTGCCGTCTTTCAAAATCCTCAAATTGTTGCCCTCAAACTGTCATATTTCTTCTAAACATTTCTCAAACGATAAAGAGCATTTCCGCGTTGACCCAAGCAATAATATTGTTACAGAAAGTTAATTGTCAAACATTTCCAGATTCTGTTGCTCTAACTCCTCGATTCAAGTTTTCGACACCGTATCTATCTGAAGAGGGGAAAGTAACGCCAATTTCCGATGGCAATATCAACATTTCGATGACCAACTGTAGCCGAATTTTTCCACTTAAAATCGAAATTGCTGTCAGTGTTGTTCCTAAAACCTAAAAAAAAGTCCCTCCGTCACCATTTAAGTTGTGCATACACTTGCAGCTCGCAAAAACACTAACTGATGGTATCAAACAATCGAGAAAAAATTGATTGATTTACGATGAAAAACTTTAATGTCTGTCAAAAAAAATGTAAAAAAGCGATACAGTTAGACAGGTACAGTGATTTTGCAGCAGTATATCAAACAAAAATAATTTTGAATGAGGGTTAGACGGCTTGCTGGAGAAAGATTAGAGCTAAATTTGGAATTAAGGAGAATAAAAATTGAATGCAGTCTCCTCAATAATCCTGACTACACAGCAGCGTTTCCGCAAGTATTTTAAATGCAGAATCCACTTGCGATCAAAAACGCTTCTGTGCGTCTGATTCTCTTATCAAGTTTTAAACTAAGTATTGGATGACAATTCATCAAAAACGTTTTTTTTTTTTTTTTTGGAAGGGGGGATTATATACGTCACGCAGAACATCCCCTGAGTCAAAGGTTACGAGAAGCAATTAGAAACGTCATCGGAAATGTCAGCCTTTTCAGGCAGGCTACCATACTAATTACTTCCTACATATCCTTTAAAATTAGAATAAATAATTAAAATAAATGAGAAGCGCTTCCTTGCGACAAAACTTTGAAAAAAGATAAAATAGCAACCCTCAAAAATTTGTAGAGGGAAGTAAGAGAAAGCCGTCTCAAAAAAGATTAGCTTTTACCCGCTTAAAATTTTCAAACCCAGCTTTTAAAGGTTGTGTAACAGTCAGTAAAATAAATAATAACAAAGCAATTTCACTAAAACAACTTTATATAAAAATATACTAAAAACCATATTAAGTGAAGGGAATAAACCGAGGGTGAAGTATGAAGAGTCAACGGTCAACAAATATCAGCACTGCTGATGAGTCACTACTTGGTTCAAACTTCTGTTATTATAAGCAACAAAAAGCATATCCAAGGCATTACAACAAACTTGCCAAATTTAAGTTTTTATGATTTCCCAGATCTCAACGCGACGTATTTTGGATTCTCGAACCCGCCGTGGAAAAGCACAAGGCCACCATCTGCAACCATGCAATGCCCAGTTACATAAGCGGCAGCATCGTTGTCAGCTAAGAAGGCAATAGGTTTGGCAATATCTTCAGGTGTCGCAAATCGACCACATGGAATGCCGCTTTCTTCAAGAACCTCACGAATCTTAAATTTAAACCATATTCTACTGTAATTTATCATTTTGGCATCAAAGACTCAAGAAATGAGTCCACTTCATCGATCAAAGTGCCAAAAAATAGCCGCTCACAACAAATTGAAAAAAATTTTTTTTACGCTTTTTAGTAGATGTGGCGGATAAAAAGCATCACCTATCAATGCGGAAGTGTTAAAAGACAGAAAAGTTTGACTTGCCTTTGCTTGATGGTCTTGAGGGATTCCAACTTTATCCAAAAAGGTTGTTTTAACGAAGCCAGGACTAAAAACTGATTTTAACCTACATATAATCTAAATAATCGCAAGAATAAAATAGAAGCGCGAGAAATACCAGTTAGAAAATCAAGTAAACATTTTGAGTCAGTTTCCAGAAGTCTTAAACTCTAACTTTACGCAGTTTACTCGTACACCATCTTTTGCATATTTCGCAGCCATTATGCGGGTCATATGATCTAGAGCAGCCTTGGCCATTGCATAATACGTTGCTGGCACTGACTAAATAAAAAAAACTGATTGTCAACGATTAAAAATTAGAAAGCAATATAACTGATAGTTGTTAGCCAAGAACGAAAAAATATTGGGTGACAAACTTAAAATAAAAAACTAGTTAGCACGTGTGATTTCCGAAAACTAAAATTCTTCCTTGTTTATTACTTGAAAAATTTTTGCTAAAAACTTAATGTACTGTTAAAAGAAAAATTATACCGGTGTTGTTGAAGCGATGCTGCTGACATTGACAATACATCCTTTGGTTTTAAGCAAGTGAGGCATTGCTTTAACAGTCATTGCAAACGAGCTGCAAAGTTACGCGATTAAAATGCCAACTTAGGTGACAAAAGAAAAATGATCACCATAAATTAAAGTATGTGATATAGAAGAAACTTAAGCGACTGAAAAAGGTCATAACTGTGAAAGGACCTTTCCATGCAAAGCACAAAAAACTATCTTTGGCTTAACTTAAAAAAGATCACGTAATTGTGAACCACAGCCTAATAAATGTCAACGACCATTGTTAACGAAAATGAGCCTCTAGATGGATTATATCCAGCTGCACTTTAAAATCAACGTGAAAAAAAACAAACCTTTTGCAATTCAGATCCATTGTTGCATCAAAGCCACTGAAGATAAAATTACCACTTGCATCTTTCTCTTTCACTGCTCCACCGTGATTATTTATCTAAAAGTCAAAACAATGTTTCAGGTTCAAAAAATCGGTCAAAAAATTTAGAGAGGGTAAAACACTGCGACAATTAGAATTTAAGAACAGTAAAAAAATTAACCAGGATATCCAGTTTGCCAAACTTTTTGACCGTCTCGTTAATTAATTTATCCTGAACATCTTCTTTTGTGATGTCCCCTATCAGTTCCAGAATATCATCATTTTTAGCGCCAGCTTTTAAACACTCTTCCTCTGTGACCTAAATAAAGCAGTGCCGCTCGACGTCTCCTCTATAAACGCCTGATACATTTATCGAGAACATAAAAAGTGGAAAATTTTTCTTTATTCTGTAGTGAAATTCGAGGGAGAAATTTGATGAGCAGGCCAGTTACGGAAAAAAGAGGAAGTTTAAGTCGTTTGAAATGCAGTGAAGTAACGGAATTCTGTTCAAACTCGTTAAGAGGCCGCCTCCTCCGTATTTACATCGGAATTTTAAAAACATCTGTGCTACTTCTATTTTACCTAAAAAGTTCAATTACCTAACTTTTACATCCTAGGAAATAGGCAGCTCATCTAGGGTTTACAAGTTTTTCCAGTGCTTTTCAAATTGTTTTTTAAACAATAAACAAACTTTTATAGTTTTGACAAAAGTACCCACCTGAAGTGCCAAATTATCACGACCAGTAATTGTCACTTTGGCTCCTTCATGAGCAAAGATAATTGCTGTTGCTCTTCCGATACCATTGCTAGAGCCTAAACGGATGTATTTTCTATATATTTCAAAATCCTCAAAAAAGAAAAAAAAAAGCATTCGCTTCTTCCACAGTTTGCTGTGACTAAAAAAAAAAAAAAAAAAAGAAAAAGGAAAGCAAAAAGTGAGAATAAAATTACCATTAGACATTCATATCTTTAAAAACTTACAACAACATTATTGTAATTGTTCAGTCTAACAAATTTCCATAAAAAACTTTTGCAGAAAAAGATCTTTGGCGTAGAGTGAAGTATCATAATCAAAATAAGGCTTAAAGAGCAACTCAGCTGAAATTTTAAACATGAAAAAAGAATTCTCCATTAAAAAACTGTTATATGGTGCGATCGATCAAAAAAAAAAAAAAAAAAGCAAACAGTGATAAAATTTTCGCCTCTTACAATTAAAAAAGAAGAAAAAAACTTGAAGAATTCTTAGCAAAAATCCTTCGACTAAATATGAATCAAAAAGTTATTTTTAATCGAATAAAATAGTTGAACTAAAACTTGTTGTTTTTAGCAATCATTTATTTGTTTGCTATTATCCTCCAATTCTTATTCTTTTCATTT